AAATTCAATGTTCATCAGCATTATAACCATCATAAAGACCACACATATTTTAAATTAGAGGGAGAGGCATGAAAGATAGTATTGCAAAAATTAAAAGATGAAAAGCAAAAGCAAAGACAATTTCTTCAAGCAACGGTAAGACCTGGAAATAATGCCACTGAAGCAGCTTATAAAGTGCTTATACACTCGCAAAAAGAGGGACGCCATTCAGTGATGTAGAAATGATCAAAGAGTGCATTGTCAAAGCTGTAGGATGCTTAGACCCCAATAATATTTCAGAGTGCAAGCTACTCCCTCTTTCGAGGAGAACAGTACCTAATTGGCAGCATGAATTAGGCTTTGGCTTAACAGAACAACTTCATGCAACACTTCAAAAGGAAAATCTGTATTATTCAATCACTTTGAACGAATAGTGTTATGTGGTATAGATACACCAGGGTCTGATCAACCATTCACTCATTAGATGGAATTTGGGGTTTCTTTTCCTTTGAGTTCCTGCTATGAACATCTGTATGTAGGGTTTTGTGTGAACCTTAGGTTTACTTTTCTCTAGGATAAATGCACAAGAACGTGACTGCTAGGTGGCATCGCAGGTGCACGTTGGGATTCGTAAGAAACTGCCAAGCTGCTCGCCAGGTGGCCGTACCACTTTGCATCCCCACCATCAGTGTACGAAAGATCCAGTCCATCTACGTTTTTCCCAGTGTGTGTTATTATCACTGTTTTTTTTATTTTTGATCTTATAATAGGTTGGTAGTGATATCACATTGTAATTTAATTTGCATTTCCCTACTTTACTCCATCCCGATTTGAACATCTTTTTGTATGTTTTTTGATTTCTTTCTTGCCACCCATACTACTTCATAACTGAATTGTTTGGTTTCTGTTTCTTTATTGTTCTTAGTGTTGACTTTTATAGTTTTTTAAAATATATTTCAAGACTAAGGTCTTTGTCGGACAGGTAATTTCAAATATTTTCTACTCTCTAGCTTGTCTTTTTGTTCTCTATTAAGACTGTCTTTGCAGAATGAGGTGGGTTTTTTTTTTGAATTTTGAGGATTTTATTTTATTTTATTTTTTATTGTTGGGAATTCATTGAGGGTACACAGAGAATGAGGTTTTTATGTTTTTATGAAATTTAATGTATCAGTGTTTCTTTCATGGACTGTGCCTGGGTATCATTTCCATCCTGAAGATGGTCTCCTGTATTTTTCCCAAAAGTTTTATAGTTTTACTTTTGTTTTGTTTTTTTGCCTCGGGACGTCCAGTTTTTTCAGTACCATTTTTTGAAAGGACGACCCCTTTTCCTCTATTGGGTTGTTTTGCACCAGCCATCATCATATTTGAAAATTGACTTTCATGAGAGGGTCCATGCCTCACAAAGCTCACAGTCTCCAGAAGGAAACAACAACAATCACAGCACCTTCAGGTAAAAACTAGGGGCGCTGGGGCAGTAGAAGAGGCCATGCCTCAGTGAGAGGCTTCCTGTCCATCTCCCTGTGTCCGCAGCCCCTTGCGGCTGAGTGCCCAGACCCCTGATGTTTGCACATACTTTCCTGAATTTTTACACATATTCTTTAGACTCAGCTTAAAAGAGTCAGGTCTAACCAGTTGCATTAGAGCCGAATTGTGCTCCAACTCAATTGTGGTTTTTGAATTGTGCTCCCAGGTTTTTACCCCAGATCTCTGCTCCCTCCCCCAGCAGACCAGCTAAACTTTCATTCTAGGTCCAATCTTGACCAACTTTCTAACGCCATCTGAGATAATGTATTCCAATATATGAGACCCACCATTTCTTCCTCATTTTGTTTGGGGTTTCCTATACAGACCAAGGAAACCAGAATGGAGTAAAATAGGGACCTGTACACCCCAAGGAGTTGGTCTTATATAGGCAAACACTTGGGTGTGTTCTGACTCTGGCATTAAGGAAACAGTAGACAGAAAGGAAAGGTGTTTCTTGCTGGAATACCAGCCTACTGCAATTGAGCTCATGTCCTCCATGTGTAAAAATATCAACTAATAGCAATGACAATATCAATAAAATTAATCCATACATGGCCTAAACTATCTGGAATGTTGGTCTATATAATTAAATGAGTTAGCCATAAATTGCTTCTCTCCTCTCTCTGAGGGCTTGTTGGGCATGGATCATATTTAGCTATCTCTGCTAAATTATTCATGGCCTGAACTCTGAATTTAAGCCTTTGAAGAAAGCACATCCTTGCAAAAACAACTAATATGGGTCCTAGCTTGGGGGAGTTTCTCTTCTATGGTGACAATGTCTGTTAGAAACTGAGAAATAATTTTTCTTGCCATGCTGATATCTGAAAATGTGACTCATCCATTAAGGGCTAGAAACACTCGTCTCTTTTATAACTCAAAATTGTCAGGATGTTAAACAACCAGAGTCATACTGTTTCCATGGCAGACCTGGCATATGGTCTAGATTTGAAAGATTCACAATATGACCTGTTAGCACTGGAGAACTTTCTCTTTTTATTAGATTTATATATTAATGAGGCTCTCCTGCCTTGGGATGTGTGCTAATTAATCATAAACTGAAGAGATAATCCCTGTTAAGGCAATACTAACTGCTGTAACACATAAACTTCAAAGTATTAATAGTTTAACAAAATTGCAATGTGCTTCTTGCCCGGTTAAATGGATGCTCCCACTTAGTGGTTGGTTCTGAGTAGTAATTAAAGAACCTACGTTCTTTCCATCTTGAGCTCCTCCATCTTTAGTATGTGGTTTCGCAGATTGTTGACTTCCCCTCTTGGGGGAAAGTACAGAGAGGATGGCGACTCGGTGTTTATTTGGATCAGGCCTGCAAGCAGCTGAGATCTTCCTGCTTACAGTCCACTGGCTCGAATCTGGTCTCACAGCCACACCAACTTCAAGGGTACCTGGGAAATGTAATAAAACTCTGTGCCCAGGAGGAAGAGAAACAGGATTGGTGTAGTGTCTGCCATAGTCCCTGAACTCCCTGCATATCAGACATCTAAAACCAAACATCTGATTTGCAAAACATTTGGAGGCCTTCTAGCCTGTATGGTCCCGTATAGCCTCACTTGCTGAACACAGCAGTGAGAATAATGAGCCCAGGAATGGTCTGCAGCAAAGAGTTCCTGGCAAGCCACCAAACTTTGTTCAGTTGTCTTGCTTCTTTAAATCTATATATGAGCAAGTGTATAAACTGACAAAATCCTTCTTTTACCGTTAACATAAATTAATGGTAAGGGAGCATTAGCGTAATTCTCACATCTTCACCCAGAATTAACACACTGTCAATGATTTAAGCAATTCTTTGCCTAAAGAGGCTGTATGGTATGGTGGCAACAAAAATAGCCTGGAATTACACCTGGCTTTGAATTCTGTCATGTATTAGCTGTCTTAATTAAGACTTTTTAATCGAAAGTAATAGAGACAAACTTGAGCTCTTTTATGATAAAACTGACAATTTATTAGAAGGATATAGGGGTGTCTTGCGGAGGTCAGGGGTAGCAGTGCAGTTAGAACTTAAGATCAGCCAGAAACTAGGAGCTGGCTCAGCTTGTGTGATATGTTCATCACTGGTCCCAACATAAAATGACAAGAGAGGCAAGGTTCTGTCCAAAAATAGCCTCCAGAGGCCAGCTCCTATAGATGTGGGCTCAGTTCCTGGCTAAGAGACACATATAGAGAGAGAACTCTGCTAACAGATGTCTTACCTTTCTGAGCCTCAGTTTCCTCATCTGTAACATGGAGATAATGCCTCCTAATTTAAAGGGCTATTTTGAGGATTAAGTGAGATAATGTGTATAAAGTATAGCATAGTACCTGGCACAAAGAGGATCTTCAATAAATAATGAATCGATGGATGTATGTATATAAACTAACATCCATTTTTACATCACTCCATTTTTCAGAGGCTGCAAGCTCAAGATAAAGTTGGGTACATGGGTAAAGTTCTGATATGCAGGTTATTGGGTTTCAATTATATGTAAATGCATTTCTCATGCTGCAGTCCTGAAAACCCGAGGTTGTTGTTATGCATAAAAAATAAAAATGTTAGGGCCTTGAACTCTCATATAGATTTGCAGGTTTGCCAAATTCCACATCTGAGCTTTTAAGTAAGAATTTATGGAAGTACAAATGCATTTATTTTACAATAGGAAACTGTTATTGCTAACTCATATGATTTAATGTACAATGGGTCAAGCAGATGGAGGGTTTATAAAAACAATTCATTCTCTGGCTTCTAGCCTGCAACTTAGTTGGAAGTTCCTGCCCAGAGGCAATCTTTAATGCCATGTTTATTACTCTGATCATCCATGCAAGCCAAACAGAGTTCGAGGCAGAACTCCACCAACCCCCATGCGGAACTCTGTTTTGCTAACACTGTAGAGTCAGTCTGGGTTTCCCTCAGTGCCCTCTATTGAGAGTCCTATAAGGAAAACCAAAGGGAAGGTCTTCCAAAGATATCACAGCCTTGTTCACAGATATTTCTGAGTTATCTCTGCAGAATTTTCATATTTATCACAGGATATCAGTGTAGAAAATATATGCCTCCCAGGAAACATTCACTATGCTTCTATCCTTTGAGAGAGGCAGCTTTAAAAGAAAGTGAACTTTAAACACTAACAGCAAGGCAGCAGCCAGGCAAATGCCCTTATTGCCATCCCAGTCCCCAAGCAACTAGAGCCATTGCTCTCACTCATCCCTCCCACAGCCATCCATCACCTCTGCAGAAGGCCTCTATCACACCAGTGACA